GGCAGATCTGGGCCGGGACCACTCGGTAGTAGCCCAAGAACGCGGTCAAGAGAGCGGAGAAGGGGAACTGGATCGGTGCTTGGAGTGAGTCGTAGTGCATCGCGATCCATTTGCCTTCTCCCGACGTCAGCAGGCTCTCTTGCTGCTCGACGCTCTCGCTGTTCAAAAATACGAATTCCCCATCGGCCGTTGCGGGCGGGGCAGCCGGGTCTTCCTCGACTGGCTCTGGTGTGGCCTCCCGATCGTCAGTTGGAGGTGCTGCCTGAGGGTAATCCCCAATTACCCGGGTCGGCGTTTCCCGAGCAGCTTCAGTCGAGGAGCGTTGTTCGCTCGTTGTAGCCTCGCCGCTTCCGTTGCTCGATCCGCTCGAGCTAGATGACCCCTCCGAGCTAAACGACCTTTGTCGCTCGGAGGCTCTTTGTGGTCGTTGAACGACCTCTGGCGAAGATGCTTCGACATCGATCTCTTCGCTTAACTGCTCGACCGCGTCGTCATAGTCCACGCCCGAGATGTTCTGGCTATCTGTATCTGACATGCTGTCTTCCTAGAGGGCGGTAGGGATATTGTTAGGGTGGGGTACGACCCGGTCGTGGTCAGTTAAGGCCCGTAGTCGGCCATTGCTAGATAACAGAAAGCAAAAAAGTAAAAAGCTAAGAGGAAGAGAACTTACCGAGTGATTGCACTTAGTGGAGAATGCTGAAGTTCAGGTTGCTCGACCGACTCTTGGAGTTGCTCGCTCGGGATGCTCCGATCAACTAAGAGGGTTGGTAAAAGTTCAAATGAATTTCAGAAGGGCCTATTTATAGGAGAACTTTTGGGCGGGAAACGACCCACTTGCGCGAGGTGACCGTTCCGGACTCCGAGACGCGCAGAAGCTGACACGTGGCACGACAGAATGACAGCTGTCCGGTCGGTTTGGCGGCGGATGTTTGGGCTTCTTCATCCCGTCCCATTTTTTCCCGGGCGGTTAAAAAGGCCCGGGCTGGGGGGGCTCTTGGTAGGGAATACCCCGACCAACATGCCACGTGTTTTATTCTTGTTTATGCAGGTTACAGGTCGGCTTTTCTTAGAAGAACCCGTTCGTACCCGACCGACGTCTTCAGTTCCCGATCGATAGCCCTTAGACGAGAGAGCCGAGAAGAGGCACGTGGCAATGTTACGCGTTGACATGCAGGGCTCGCGGGGTGAAGACAAGTGGTTGCTACGTGGGTTACATGCCGGCCGACCGGAGCTGTGTCTCCGACCTAGCGGCTATAAATACCCACGGCAGTAACAATGTGAGGGACTCTTGGAACGATCGATAGGCTATTTACAGAGCATCCCGACCGCAGTCAGTCGGCCCTCGGAATAACCACTTAGATTGTATTAGGTCCTTTTACACGATCAATAAAAGATTTACTTGCTTTACTTGGTCGTATTATTACTTTGACCGCTCTACGTGGAATTAGTACTATCAGGTCGCCTTCTCCGGTGAGAAGGGAGAAGGCGACCCCTGGGTTGCCTCCTCACCGGAGAAGGCGATGGTTTCCTTCGTTTTTTTTTTTTTTAACAACCCACTAGGTTGCCTTCTCACCAGAGAAGGTGACGGGAGGTTTGTTTGTTTTTTTTTTTTTTTTTTTTTAATTTTAATATTTTTAATTTAAAAAAATGAAAAACAAATAATAATCTTTGACCATATTTAATGCTAGTGGTGTAAATAGCAAATTTGCATTTACACCACCTATAAAGCTATTTGACCTACTAAATAGGTGGTGCAAATAGCAAAATAGGTGGTGTAAATAGAATTTCCCTTTCCTCCACTCTAAGGAAAATATTTTCCTTTGGAAAACATTTTTCATGAACCAAACATCCCCTAAATTACTAGTTAAACTCAATAAAAAATTTTGGGGTCCTCAATATAACCCATAATTTCTATATTTCTATTCTTTTTTTTTATATTAAAATTATGTTTAAAGAGTTAAATTTTTTCTATTTACACGTTGACTTTCAGTCTATATATTTTGATGGGTTAACTTTAAGATTTCTATATATATATAAATGGGTTTCCGTGCAGTTGGTCTTTTCACATGCAGTTGTGCAGTTGTTAAGGTGTGTGGTTTTTCTTCTTAAGGTGCGTGGTTTGTGTGCTTAAAATGCGTCAACCTAAAGCTTAAGGTGAGTAATTTTCCTTTTTAATGTGCGTGATTTGTATGCTTAAGGTGCGTTAGTTGTTGAACTTAAGGTGCGCAATTTTAAAATCTTAGGTGCGTTGTTTGTGTTCTTAAGGTGCTTTGTTTGTATGCTTAAGGTGCGTGATTTGTGTACTTAAGATGCGTGGTTTGTGTAGTTAAGGTGTGCCATTTTAAAACTTTTAAGTGTGTGGTTTGTAGTCTTAAGGTGCTTCGTTTGTGTGCTTAAGGTGCGCGGTTTGTGTACTTAAGATGCATCAATCGCACCACCGCATGGGAAGTCATTCCCGCACCTGAACCGTACCCTTCCCTATATATATGTGTCTGTGTGTGTAATTAGAGAGAGAGAGAGAGATAAGTAGCAAAATTTGAGTGGTGTGAATTGACCTCAATCATTGAAAATTTTTAAAAATTTCCATCAATCCAGTTTATAGGAGACATTAGCTGCGTGGGGCAGGTTTCGGCCGGTTCCGTCTCGTGAGACCGTTTAGACGGCTTTAGTCAATTGATACCACTGAAAATATCATATCTCCGTCTCTATAACTATGTATAAATGAGTTAATTTTATTTTTGGTCATAGATTTATAGGAGGCAATTCACTTTAAGTCTTTTTTTATTAGACCATATACTTTTAGTCCTAATATTATTATGGCATGACCATTTTTGGTCCTTTATCAACTAAATAGTTTAAATATCGTTAAATACACGAGTATTTTGGTCTTCAATTATGATTTAAAAAAAAATAATAAACAAAAAAAAATATAGTGGTTTAACCTACTTTGTATAAAAAAGATTGAAATGTTTTTGTATTTTTAACGACATTTCAACAATTTTGTTTAAGGATGACTAAAAATGGTTTTGCCACAATAATACTAGGACTAGATGAGGATGTTCTAATTAAAAATGACTAAATTAAAAGTGAACTGTCACCTGTAAATCTAAGATAAAAAATGGAATTAACTCTGTATAAATTTATATATATATATATATATATATATATATATATATATATATATATATATATATATATATATATATATATATATATAAATAGATTACCAACCAATATAATTTATAATTATTTTATCCAACAAATGATAGATGAGTTGTTTTGAGTGGATATCATTTACTTTAGTCTACACCCTCATTTATTTCCTAAATGAAAGGCTAGATATTCGCAAGTATCCAATTATTATATATAATAAATATATAATTTTGTAATTCCAATTTCAATATTCAACTTGTTATATGAAGAAGCTAGAGAAGATAAAATGGAATTTAGAAAGGCACATTGGTCAGGCATGTTTATCGTGTATGTTGTGTCCATATTGATGAGTCGTCCTGTTGTGGGAGTGAGCCCAAAAAAGAGTTTGGTGTTGATACCACAATGTATAGAACGTTGCATACCAATATGCATGAGGTTGGAGGGTGCATCAGAACCACTCTGCGAAAGAGCATGCATTGCAGGATGTGATCAATTATGTGGAAGAGGCAACCTCAAAGGTATATATATATATATATTCATTATGCATTAATTTCATACTCGATCTAGTATTCATTCCCACATTGGAATTAAATAAATTTTTTTTTTATTTTTTTGTTTTTGCGGTGAAAGATCTCTATTTAGGATTATTCTATGGGCAAGTTGAGAAATCTAATGTATTATATATATATATATATATATATATATATATATATATATATATTGTGTTGCAGGAGATGTACACGAACAATGAATACAGAAGTGCAGCACGGAGCAAGAGGATCTTAGCTTCATACGTACGAAGCATCGCTCAACGGGATGGATGAGAGCCTGAAGATCATGGAAATCGACACCTACAAGCTGAGATCAATGTCCCGTAGAATCAACCATTTGTACTTCTGGGAATGAGTCAGATTGGTGGAAGTTCTAATTGAAGTTTTTTGTAATTGAAAGGATTAATCATCAATAGTTCAAGGGTCTATTTGATCTTTATTTCAAATCCTTTTTTATTATTAAAAAAAATAAAAGTTGTTTGAAGTCAAACACCAGCTTTAGGTGGATGGCATAATCGTTTACTTTGTCACGTTGCAGCTTTATTGTTACGCTTTCCAAACCTTAATATATCGATATCGTGCTGGCATGGCATATATGATAGCTAATTTTTGAAAATTTCATCAAATTATACATACGGAGTATAATATTGGACATTTCAATTCCTTGATATGATGAAAACGGTGCCCCGATTTGTTATATAAATGTTTATTTAGAGAAAATAAACAATAATTGCAGAAGAAGGAATCTGGCACGTACACTATCATGGTCATGAAGACGGTGGGGCGGTCCCCAATAAATAACAATAATTTACCACGACAAACTTCTCAGTCCTTGCCCCCCTCCCTGTGTGTATTCAAAATTTGTAGGCATAGCTGGCTGTGTCCTGTGTCCTTTGTGTTTCATCAACTAATACCGCGTTGCGATATGATGATCGAGCATCATGATGCTTCGGTTTCATTTTTACTGTATTTTAAAAGTTCACTAAATAGTGGGGAGGCATTTTTTTTTTTTTTTTTTTTTGTATATTGTTGAACACAATGACTAATTTCATATTGTAAGCAATTTTTTTAGGTGAGATAACTGACCTGAAAGTTTAAAACTACTTCATACTCAAAGTCAATATTCGAACACTTGACCGACTGCTCCACCTTTAAGTAAAAATAATAAGTCACTTCCACCAGATCCATGCATAATTGGTGTGCAACCCCCTAATGTTTGTATCCTTTAGAAATTGAGCCCAAAGTCAATTCACTTTGTGCCTTGCACGTCTGTCTAGCTCTTGGATTCTCCATTATCCCTCTCTATTTATCCCTTTTTCCGTTTGGGCTTCTTTCAAGCAAAGTGAAAATATAAAGAGCATCTTTTGCAGGGAGGCAGGCAGGGTGCCTTAACTCCTCTGATTTTCCAACTACTTCAAATTCAATAGCGCAGCTAACTGGGTAAGTACAGTAAAATATTATTATTACTGCAAATTAAAACCTGTGTTTTAATTTAATTTTTTTTTTATACAAAAACCAAGTCAGTGATTGATTGGTTGAATCTGACAAAGGGCAGGTAGGGCGGAGAAGTAGTCCAGTGAAATTAAAGAAAGAAATTAGGTTTGGTTTTGTTGAAGATGAGATCAGAATCAAAGATGCGGGTGCAGCGCCTCTTTTTCCTTTTTGTGTATGTGACGTTGTTCCTCCAGATCGGCGCCGATGCTGATGACGACGACATTGTAAATGCGGCCAAGAGACTCAACTTCGAGAACCAGCGCCTCCGAGACGCCTACATTGCGCTCCAATCATGGAAGGAAGTCATTCTCTCCGACCCCTTAAACTTCACGGCGAATTGGATAGGAGCGGATGTGTGCTCTTATACCGGAGTATACTGCGCCCCTTTGCCCACTACTTCTACGAGAGTGGTGGCGGGTATCGACCTCAACCATGCAGACATTGCTGGGCATCTCGTCCCTCAACTCGGTCTTCTCTCTCATCTCGCCCTCTTCCACCTCAACTCCAATCGCTTTTGCGGTGTGCTTCCCCGGAGCTTCAAAAACATGACTCTCCTTAGGGAGCTAGATCTCAGTAACAACCGGTTTGCAGGCGGATTCCCTAAGCCCGTGCTTTCAATGCCTTCTCTCAAGTTTTTAGACCTCCGTTTCAATGAGTTTGAGGGCCCCGTGCCGTCAAAGCTTTTCGACAAGGACCTGGACGCTTTATTCCTCAACGACAACCGGTTCCGTTTCGGCATCCCGCCCAACCTCGGGAACTCGCCGGTTTCCGTTTTGGTTTTGGCCAATAACCATCTCGGGGGGTGTATTCCATCCAGTATTGCCAAAATGGGGAACACATTGAACGAACTCATTCTCTTGAATGACAATCTCACCGGATGCTTGCCTCCTCAGATCGGAAAGCTGAAGAAGTTGACGGTGTTTGATGTGGGGTTCAACCAGATTCAGGGGCCGCTACCGTCTTCCGTTGGGGGGATGAGGAGTTTGGAGCAACTGAATGTTGGGCACAATCGTCTCACCGGCGTCATTCCAGGCAGCGTGTGCCAACTTCCTCGCCTGCAAAACTTCACCTATTCTTTCAACTACTTCACCGGAGAGGCTCCGGCATGTGTCGCCAGAAGCGGATCGGATGGTCGGGAGAATTGTATTCCGGGAAACAAGGCTCAAAGATCTGCTAGGGAATGCTCGTCTGAAGATGCTAAGCCTTTTGATTGCCGTAAATCCTCCAAGTGTGGCGGCGGCGGCAGCAACAACTTCGCTTCCTCCCCAAAAACTAAAACCAAGTCAAAGAGAAGAGCAAGCCCACCCAGGCCTTCCAAATCTTCATCACAAACAAGGTCACACCCTCCGCCACCCCCATCCCCATCCCCAACCAAGTCTTATACTTCTCCACCTCTGCTGTCCCCGCCACCACCCACCCAAAAAATGTCGCCCAAGATTCACCAAGCACCACCGCCGCTCTATCACAGTTACACCTCCCCACCACCACCACCGCCTCCAAATCACTATGTTAAATTTCCCCCACCTGAACATCGCTCCATAACTCCACCTCCATCAACTTATCACAGTTACACTTCACCACCGCCGCACTCAAATGAGCATGTGAAATCCCCTCCACCTCCACCCGACACCCATTACACTTACACTTCTCCACCTCCACCGATTTATCACAGTTACACATCTCCGCCACCTCCACCCGCCACCCATTACACTTACACTTCTCCACCTCCACCGATTTATCACAGTTACACATCTCCGCCACCTCCACCCGCCACCCATTACACTTACACTTCTCCATCTCCACCGATTTATCACAGTTACACATCTCCGCCACCTCCACCCGCCACCCATTACACTTACACTTCTCCACCTCCACCGACTTATCACAGTTACACATCTCCGCCACCTCCGTCTTCAAATGAGCATGTCAAATCCCCTCCTCCACCACCTCTAATTCAGCCATCACATCCTGTTCCGTTTTCACCGCCGCCTCCAAGTTGCAACGACCCACAATCTGTTCCACCGCCGCCATTGCATGAACACATTCCTCTTCCTCCCGTCAAAGGCGTTTCCTATGCATCTCCTCCACCTCCCGTTATTCCTTACTATTGATTGAGATTTGGGAATAGAGAGAAAGAAAAGAAACTGTTAACAGTAGACTTTCAACAAGTGGACAAGAAACTATGACTACAGTAATTTTTTATTATTTTTTTTTTTGGTGTATCATGTATGCCCTCTCAGGCTCTCAGGAAGTTTTTTATTTTTCTTCTCTCATTTTTTTTTTGTTTTATTTTTTGTTATTCTATCTTCCCTTTATCATTCTATCAATCTCCATGCTCTTGTATTCTTGTTTGGTAAGTTAATTTAATGTAAGACCATTAGACTACTATAGGATTAAATGAGCATTTTTCCTAAAGGCTGAACCCCAACCCTAAGGGCCCCCACACCCCGACCGGACAGAGCATTTGGGAGTATGTAAATCATGGTAACTCAACTGAACATAAACCATAGAGGCTAGACCGGTGTTCACTGTCCACAAGGAACCCCCCTCACTTTGAGAGGTTGCTCCCACACTGCCGCTGGTGAGACTTGATCCCTGGTCATTCTTCCAAAGTTTCCCTCTTAAATTTCACATCTTTACGTGATAATATTTAATTAATTTTAAATATTTAATTAATAAATATATTTTGTATACTAAGTTAGATTAGTCCATTAATGGTTTAAAGAAAAATAAAATTATTTTTAGAATAAATTAATGGTTTATATTAACCTAATCTTATTATTCAATTAATAATTGGGAAAAGGTACATGTTGGTTTTAAGGGTTTTAGGCTCAGTGAGGTCCAACACAACCGTGGTTGATGGATTCACCTTTCAAACAAAGCGGAAATGATTGAAGGAACAATTCGCCCAACTTTGGCTTCTTTTGGATGTTTCTCTGTATTTTCTGTTCTCCCGGAGGAAAAGTCTCTGCCTTACATGCTCATGGCCCCCCCCTCTTATAACGGGTTGTCCCTTGCCTATTTAAATGCACTTAAAGAGCCATAAACTAGCCCATTTACTCCTAAGGGCCATTGGGTTTCCGTTACTGGGCCTCCCAACGGCCTGTTTGACTATGCTTTAAAAGGACCCTCTTAAATGCCAACGGCTATTTCTGCCGAGCCGACCTCCTACTCGCGCCGACCTCACGCTCACACCGACCGCCCACTCGCGTCCTAGTTTTCTGGACTCATGTCTACTGGTACATGGACAGCCACGGCTGGGCCTTACCTTCCACAGGCCAAACCTTTACTTCCTTCTTTGTCTTCCTTTCTCTTTGGGCCCCGGGCCCATTGGGTCCGTACCCTATCAGTACAAATAGGCCATTGAACTATTGGAGATAGCAGTGAAACCATCGAACTCGAATAAGCTCCAAATTGATCAATAAACTTGGAAAAAAAATACAATTAACATTTTTAGCAAGTTACCAACAAGTTTTTGCTGATTAGAATGTTATGTGTATATTTTAATTTTAATTTTTTTTATATAAACTATTTAAAATTTTCATGTATTGCGTTCTTATAGCACTTTTTAGCTGTCAAGAGGTCTAGGAGGCTTAAACAGCCATACATACAACAGAATCACCAAAGTCTACGTAACAGTTAATAGATCTATTCTAGTCCAACAAACTAGGAAGAACTAGTCCATACATATATTATTTCTTCTTATTTTCTAATATATATATATATATATATATATATATATATATATATATATATATATATATATATATATTCTTAGTCAGCCAGGGAAGAGGAGAGATTATCTATATTCTCTGTCACTTCCTTCGTGCTATCCCAAGACTCATCCACCACCTTGTGAATGTCCGGGTGCGTGAGCCAGGCAGCCTGAAAGAAAAAACGAGATTGCATTAAAGATGGCCAAAGGCCTTCAACTTGAATGAAAATTGGGGCATGATCGGATGCGATCCGCGGGAGGTGTGAAACAATAGCCCATGGGAAACTGATCCGCCAATCTGTATTGCTTGAAGTTCGATCAAGTCGAGCGCCTTTCATGATATCTCTTGACCCGACTTTGACCCAGGTTAGCTTTGGACCGTCAAAACCCAAGTCAATGAGTCCTTCCTCCTGAATCCGGCTCACAAAATCCGCGCTTCGTTGTGTAGAATAAGAGACGTAGTTCATGGTTTCATCCCGGTGCACCACTGAGTTGAAATCCCCTGCTGCGAGCCAGGGTCCTGAGAACGCCCTACTAGATTACCTTAGGTCTCTCCAAAGGCACCTGCGAAGCTGATGTGACGGGCTCCCATATACCAAGGCAAAAATCCACCGGGGGGGGGGGGGGGGGTGGGGGGGACCCAGCCTTATTGACCTGCAAAAGAATAAACCGCGGGTGAGTGTAGAGCACAGAGGCTTGTACCGGGTCTTTCCAGAACACCCAGATGCCTCCACTAAAGCCAAGGGCCTCGACGCGGACCCAATCCGAGAACCTTAGCTTCGAGCAAATCCGGTCAGCCTGGGCCCCGGAGACTTTAGGTTCAAACAACCCCAGCATGCATGGCTTTGAATGCTTAACAGATATTTGAGGGCGCGGTGGAACTTTCTGCCACTCGCCCCTTGGCAGTTCCATAGGATGCAATCCATAAAACAGAAGGCGGGAAAAAAGGGACAGCCAACACGGAAAACAAACACAAAAAGAAAAACATCACAGAAAACAAGACCCGAGGGAGGGCACAAGAAAACAGAAGGAAACAAAAGGATCACTGGCCAGATGTGGCCGCCGCATTCCCTGGAGCCGCCTGCAATCCACCAAGATCCATCACCACATCCCCTTCTTCGCCAACGTTCTTTGGCGGGTCAGAATGGTGCTCCTTGGTATGCTGCCACACCGGCGACGGCAAATCATATGCCTGCGCACCTGTGGCCACCCGAGAAGAGTGGATAACCAGACCGCCCCGTTCTCCCCTCACAACCACGTGCTCGTCCTCCTCCGCTGCTCGTCTATGACTGGTTACTCTTCCCCGTCTTTCGCTAGTCGGGATTTCGCTCGGTCCAACCTGTACTTCACCTCCATCTCTCGACTCATTGGTTATTTGCTTCTCATGTGCGATGACGTTGGGCCTCCTTGCTGATCCTCCCTGCGAACTAGCTACCTGTATGCCACGTGTTTGTCCCCTAGTAGAGTCACCGTTTTCTGCCTCATCATTTCTCTCACCTGGATCCACCTCGTTACCGCCTTGCTCAATCTCCTCGTTAAGGTCCACCAATGGGGCAAACTTTGAAGCCTGGATATTCCCTGCATGGCTTTTCCCTGTGCGCCTTTCGTCTGCCGGTTTAGATGATTTATTCACCGTCCTTGGGCCATTTCTCGGCTTCCTTCCTGGGGCTATCATCCAACTGCCAAACGGGGCTTCTCCGATTTGGACCTTAGATTTTTCCCCCGCCTCCTCCTCCTGTGCCTTCTCTGGTTCTGGCGCAGATTTGTGCACTGTAGGGCAATCCTCAGATGAATGGCCATAGATCCCGCAAGTAAAACAAACCATATGGATTCCCTTGTAGGCTACTGATCGTACCCGCTCCTTGTACTTGAATTTGGAGATAAGTGGCTTTGTAATATCAACCTCGATGCATAGCCTGGAAAACATCCCCCTCGACATCAAGCTTGTTGCGCAATCCACACGTATGGTTCTGCCCACTTTGTTCCCCAATTTCCTCAAGAAGATGGTGTTGTAGTATCCGCAGGTAGGCACAGAATCCTCACCCAAACCAGCACTGTAACACCCCGAAATTTTAAAAACTTTTAAAGATTATATAACAAAGGTAAATGATCATAAATCCCAAAACGTTTATAAGAATACAGGGTGTTATGCCACACCCGAGCTAGAGAACTCAGGTGCCCAGGCTAAATTCTAAAAACCTCAATCAGTATCAATAAAAAATCATGGCACGCAGGCCGAAAGGGAAAACTATCTAATCTACGCCCCAAACCTCTAGCGCGCTCCAGTGATCTACTCGTCTGTGCCTGAAAGCCAAATATATTTGTTCAGCGAGAGATGCTGGGATGCTGGTAACCCACTCCAACGCGTTGAAATACAATACATATAGATATATACATAGATATATGAAAACCATTTCGAAGCATGAAGATATATCTTAAGAGACTCTAGCTTTCAAAACAGGGAATAGACTCGACAGATAGGGATAAGCACAACCAACAGTCATAACCAAGCATGCACAATTCACAGGTGTAGGGAACAAATACGACAGATAGAGATAAGCACAGCCAATAGTCATAATCAAGCATATACAGTTACTAGCATGTATCATATGGTCACGCTTTCATAATAATCCAATCATCCATATCTCATCACATAGCACAATTTGTTGGCGCCACAGGACCAATCGCATTCCCATACATGAAGGTCAGCGCATATAGCTCTGACACGGCCCCGCAGCACCCTGCCCCATATCGCAACACGGAGGGGTCGATCGCAACCGACCGATGAACCGCAGCTCATCATAATGTTTGATCACAACCAAACAGTGGACCGCAGCCCAAGAGTAGTCATCTGACCGCAGCCAGGAATATGAACCGCAACTCATGTAAAACGTTTGATCGCAACCAAACGGTGGACCACAGCCCGAGAGTGTAGATCTGACTGGAGCCAGCTTCTGAACCGCAGCTCAGGAATAACCAATTTGATCGCAACCAAATTGGGGTATCATGCACACATAACACATAGCAAACACATGCAACCCACGTTGACACATTGGGAAGGGGAAGAAATCGTATAACGAAACCTATGCGTGATCATTCACATACTAAGAATAATCCTAAGGGGTTCATATTTCTTACGCCTAGGCCAACGGGATACCAATTCAACTAGCATGCGATATATAAGACTTATTCAACCTACGAATGGTACCCGAACATCGAACTAGACATAGGCACGATAGACGGAGTCCGTTGGGACACCACGGGGGTCGGGGGAACATCAAACGGGGAAGCCGAAATCCCAAAGTGGGGTAAAATCCAGTGGGTAGCCGGTGGGTGAGGGGTCACCCGCCGGCTGCCCGCCGGCGTCGTGGTTCCGGGCAGCGGGTGCCCGGCGGGCAGTCGCCTGCCCGACTTCCAAGTTGGCCGCGGGTAGGTGGCGGGTCCCCTACCCCCCACTGACTCTTTCATCACAAAAACTCCCCGGGAACCTTAGTGGAACCGGAACCATCCTTAGACACTTTCAAACGCAATTGATAACAACACCTAGACAATTAATGGGTCAGAAGCAGGAACATACGACACATATCCTATCATGCTTTTCTAAACATAATTAATACCCGAACATGCGAATTCCCACCCAATACATCAAGAATAACACCATACGAATTTC